TGTAGCAATGAAATAAAATTAATACAGTTTTTTTATACAACTATAGATAAATCAGGAAAATCTCTCCACTATCCTAGAATACTAAATAGTTTACATAAATCGGTCTAATTTAAGTTATCCAACTCTAGCAATAAGGATAATTTTGACAAACGAAAGCACATATTTAGAATCACTTGAACATAGGAACCATAAAAATAACCTCGAATTCTTAGACAATATCAGTAATGACGTTAACAAACGCAATATATGGTTTAACACTCCCTTCAGCAAAAATGTCAAAAATAATATAGGAAAAGTTTTTCTCAGTTAAATCCACAAGCAATTCAGTCATTTCCCAACGCTAAATAAGAGTGCCAACAAAAACAACGTCAAAGTTAGCTACAGTTTTGACAGAAACATCGACCAGTATATATCACAATACAACTGCTACATTCTAAACAAACAATTCAATAACCTACAAAACAGCAACATCCCCGCAACTAAGGAATGCAACTGCCGAAAAAACAATCCCTGCCCATTAAACGGCAGATGTGTGACCAAATTATTATCTATAAAGTTGAAATCAAATATGACGACGAGATCAATTTTGATCTGGGCTGTACGGAAAACCATTGGAAATCGCGCTTACATTACCACCAAATGAGATTTGGCTATATTAAACATGGGTAACTGCACTGCCTTAGCTTACCAATTATCAGCTGCGAATGTATAACGAAAGCTAAAGCCTTCAGGGAGAAAAACGACAAAAGTATTTCTGAAAATTAAAGATCATAAAATAATATGAAGAATCCAAACCTTTTAAATAAAAGGAATGAGATAATGCGCACCTGCTTACAGAGTAATAAATATCTACTCAAGTAAGTTACCCTAAATTAATAGAGTCTAAGCAGGTCAAGAGACCACAAATATTGTACAGATATTAATTATTTATATTTATTATTTGTACTATATTATTTTTACTATATACATATTGTTAAAGTTATCATTAGACTGTAATGCACTTAACATTATTATTTATATTACGATTTTTAAAATATAAATATTTATTTTCTCATCTTTTACTTTTAGTCTTACTACCAGTTTTTATTATTATCATTATGCTTATGTATTATTTATAATAACTTTTTTTTGTCTGGTTTTATTTTTATGCATACTATTTATAACTGCAGGTTTAAATAATAATATATATATATATATAGAAAAAGTTTCAAATTTAAAATTATAATGTTTTATTTTATGAAAGTATTTATTTATTTATATATATATATTTGATATTTTCAAATTGTCCTCAATTTTTCATCAACAATAACTGTTTGTTAAAATAAATTAAAATTACTGTTTGTTAAAAGTAGCGTCCTTCGCGAGACGCGGACGTCACGAATATGGAACGTCACTGTTCGGATATTCCTTACTTAAATCTAACTGTCATAAATATTTAAAACAATTTTTTTTTATATCTAAAAAAAAAAAAAAAAAAAAAAAATTGTTTTAACTATTGAAATATTTAATAATTGCGTAACTATTGAAATATTTCAATAGTTAAGCAATTATATATTTTTTTTTTTTAGACGCAGTGACGTTCCATATCACGCGTAACAAACAGTAATTTTAATTTATTTGTAACAAACAGTTATTTCTGATGAAAATTGAGGACAATTTGAAATATCAAATATATATATAAATAAATAAATACTTTCATAAAATAAAACATTATAATTTTTTTAATTTGAAACTTTTCTATATATATATATTAAGAAAGTATACGTGGCTTATCATTATGCTATTTGGACCCTATATATATATATATATATATATATATATATATATATATATATATATATATATATATATATATATATATTTATTTATTTCTTTATTGATTTTCATACAAAAATAAATTTATGCCATTTCATCTCCAAAGCATTTTTTATAACAGCGTCCGTTATTAAATGAAAATTTATAATTATTTCGAATGTTAAATTTGATCGGATCGAAATTCAAATCCAAAATTCAACTACAATTCAAGAAGTACTTAAAAATATATATTAATCCTCACTAACAATAAAATATCTCACGATAAAAAGAAATATTAACAGGCGGTGTAAATCCAAAATTGGCACATGTGGATTGTCGACCTGAAAATCTGAGTTAGGCTATCAATGTAAGGTATAATGTATAATTATTAACGTAGCAAATACCTCTCGTATTTTTCCCACCTTATAGGCTGTATGTATATTATATATATATATATATATATATATATAATTGCGTATAAGCATGAAACAGAATATCGCTGCTGGGTGCTGACTTCCATGACGACATTTATATCTGCATAGGCTTCATACTTGGTATTCAGCATATTAGCTTCTGCATCAGGCATGCCTTAATACTATGTTTTACCGTGTGTATGTGTTTGTACGCCTTTGATTCTATCCGATCTCCACATTTATTCTAAAATGACGTTCAATTCTGTATTTTTCGAAACACATCTTTAGTTATCAGTATGGAACATTCCGTTTCGTATGCTACTTTTACGAAATTGTTAACATCGGCTGAAGAATAATGATAATAAATGGATGTATCTTTGAGATTATTTTCGAGAGTTCAAAGGGCGGTTTAATGCTGAAATATTTCGGAGCATGCACGTGAAAGATCGTCATTTTATACGAAAATATATGCACTAAATTCACACGAGATACGCAATTTTATATTTCTTCAGGTTACGCGAGACAGCAATTCAAAATTTGTCAATCAACTGGAGTATACACAGGCGCTCAGATATGCACATTCCTCTTCGCCTTTAATGATTTTAGAATTTTCAAACTTTTGTAATTAGATTATCTCAAGGGTAACCCGGGGACATTTTCTCTTTTCAAACACGATATATTCTTTGATATCGGATTAGTGCATATAAAGACAAACAAAAACAAAATATTTCTGGCTTAATATATGCAGAGTGAATATATATATATATATATATATATATATATATATATAAAAGAGCGATGTGTTGCATACAGGATTTTCAAAATATTATTGCTAAATTGATCAAAGCAGTAACTTTACAAATTATTTAGGGACAAAGTAACATGTCCAGTAAAATCTTGCAACAGAAAAGATTATACGAGAAGAGACGAAAATTGATTAATATGGGATATTTAGACTTGTCTTTATTAATAGAAAACGTTATATCAGTATGGATACGAAGGACGATCACACACACACACACACACAAACTTGAGCAATTCCTTCAGTAATGAATTTTAGATCGTGCCCTCACTTCTGGAAGACGATTAAGACTAGCAGATTGGAATTACTATGAATTTTATTATAAGGAATGATTTTAATTGCTTTTTTGGTATCTGGAAAGCACAGCTCTACAGATATAATAAATACAGTTTAAGAAATAACGATTTGTTTATCTATTTTATATACAAGATTACACTATAATGATTTGAAGTTTAAATATATATATATATATATATATATATATATATATATATATACGTTTTAACATATGCATCTACAGGTATATCCAACAAATGTAACTTTACTAAAAAAGTTATGAATTCCAATTATAGTTAGAGATAAACAGATAAAACCAAGAGTCTATCTGTCTAAGTGGTTAGAAAAAAATCAGGCACTAGCAACTTTCGAATATATATATATATATATATTTAAATAAAAAGAAAGAACAGTAAGATATATAATCCGGTGTTCTTATAGATATTTTTATTTTTACAAAATAGTGCTCAATGTAAATTTACAGAGCATATTATATATATATATATATATATATATATATATATATATATATAGATAGAGATATTTGTAAAGGTTTCTTTTTCACCGCATACTCGCGCATTGTTACGAAACCATCGACTGTTTGAATATTACTAAAACCGCACGTGTGTGTACTTTTTTCATTTCTAAGTTTGACCAGGATGTATATATTTAGCATTTTCTCATTCACAAGCTACACTTTTTCCATTGTGATGTATTTTATATTAGAGTAGTCATTGGAAAGATAGACAAAGTGTTCTTTTAAGAAGAAATAATTAACTTGCTTCAATTCCACATTCGATTTCCTCCCAATGAAAAGCTCGTCTCGTTGGGATTCCTCGACTCTGTCATTTATTACTGATGCGGAAAATTTACAGACATTTGTTACTATTCATTCGCACAGAACAATTGGTCCATGAAACAGGACTCGTGGCAAAAATCTAGAGTGTCACAGACAGACATACACACATTTTCTTACATTCTCACATGAAGTAATCACAGGCATAGAGAACCAAAAACCTATTCACAATCATATTTTCCTAAATAATTTTACAAACACACACACATATATATATATATATATATATATATATATATATATATGTGTGTGTGTGTGTGTGTGAGAGAAAGTAGTGAGAGAGATTTTTTTATAATATAGTAAGCAAAAATATTTAAGAGATCTATTCCAGGTGTATTCTGCGTGATATTTCTCAGAATATTTGGCTTTGTCTTTAACGACATGATTTTGAGTTTGTCTACGTGTCAGAGAGGGAGAGTGTGAGAGAAGGGATCTAATTCTGTAAACAACTTTTTTTAACAAGTCTAGAGATTTAGACCGGGTTTCTTCTGGCTGACATTCCTCGGAATATTTGGCATTGTCTTCAACGACATGATTCTGTGTTCCTGTCACAATTTACAATCGAATTTTCTCATCTTCGTATACACTGTCAAAATGTTTGATAGAGCGAAAATATATTCAATAGAGAGAGCAAAGAGATAGAGCAATGAGCGATTCCATTTCCTGATATATTTTTCCAGAGAGAGCGAGGAGATCCAGAGAGAGTCATAGAGAAACAGATAGAAATAGAAAGAGAAAAGAGATATAGATAAGAGTTATAGAGAGTAATAAAACATGACTTTCTTTGATTCTACAGAGAGTGACAATAGAGAGTGATCTCCGTGAAAGAGAATCGTTTTGTTTGATTTTTAAGAAATCATTATGTTTTAGAGAGAGTAAAGAGAACAACAGAGAGAGCTAGAGACATAGACAGATTTTCCAGAGAGAGAGATAGATAGATATAGAGATTAGAGATGAAAAATGATGAGAAACGAGAGAGAGAGCGAGCGAGAGAGAGCGATAGAGAGAGATAAATAGATGAGAATGATTTAATAACAATTGTTGAGAATAAAGAGAGAGATATCCATAATATTAAAATATAACAGACTTTTTAATAGAGAGAAGATTTTTAATGAGTAGAGAGAGCGGGACAGACAATATACTAAGATAGATATTTTATGATGAAAACTAGATAGATAGAGATGATAACATTATAAATAGAGATAAAGAATATAGAAATTGATAAATAGAGAGCTTAAGAGAGAGAAAATAGATGAGAGAAGAGAAATTAGAGCGAGAAGAATAGCGAGAGAGAGAGAGATGTGAAGATAAACAGTGAGATTTTTGATTGAGAACAGACCATACTTAGAGCGAGGGACAATTAAGGATAGAGCAGAGACAGACCCAGTGATAGAGCGAGAGACAGACCCAGTGATAGAGCTGAGACAGACCCAGTGATAGAGCGAGAGACAGACCCAGTGATAGAGCGAGAGACAGACCCAGTGATGAGGAGAGACAGACCCATGATAGAGCGAGAGACAGACCCAGTGATAGAGCGAGAGACAGACCCAGTGATAGAGCGAGAGACAGACCCAGTGATAGAGGATAGAGAGACAGACCCAGTGATAGAGCGATGAAAGATAGACAGAAATAGAGAATGACCCAGTGATAGAGCGAGAGACAGACCCAGTGATAGAGCGAGAGACAGACCCAGTGATAGAGCGAGAGACAGACCCAGTGATAGAGGGGAGAGACAGACCCAGTGATAGAGCGAGAGACAGACCCAGTGATAGAGCGAGAGACAGACCCAGTGATAGAATTTTTTCAAAGACCCAGTGATAGATATGGGGATAGAATAGACAGACCCAGTGATAGAGCGAGAGACAGACCCAGTGATAGAGCGAGAGACAGACCCAGTGATAGAGCGAGAGACAGACCCAGTGATAGAGCGAGAGACAGACCCAGTGATAGAGCGAGAGACAGACCCAGTGATAGAGCGAGAGACAGACCGAGTGATAGAGAGAGAGTCAGACATGATAGACAGAGCACAGATAGTCCTGATAGAGTATGAGAGAGAGAGAGAGGGAGCGATGCGGTGTCACAGAGAGAGAGAGGAGGGGGACGGTGTCACAGAGAGAGAGAGAGAGGGAGGGACGGTGTCACAGAGAGAGAGAGAGAGAGGGAGGGACCGTGTCACAGAGAGAGAGAGAGGGAGGGACCGTGTCACAGAGAGAGAGAGAGGGAGGGACCGTGTCACAGAGAGAGAGAGGGAGGGACCGTGTCACAGAGAGAGAGAGGGAGGGACCGTGTCACAGAGAGAGAGAGAGAGAGAGTCATAAAATTTAATCGCGGAAACTATAGATTCTACTATCTGTAATAGCGAAACATGCGTGATTGCGTGTTGGTTCTATTACCTATATTACAATATATAAGGGTAAAATAAGCGCCAAACATGTTTGCAGATTAGAAATTCCGCTAAATATTGAGTTTTCAGTTATCTTACATCAATCTGTTTTAGTTTTATTTTACTATTGACACTAACAGTATAGTTTCTTCTAACTAATGATACTTCATATTTAATGGAATCTGACAATGTATTTCAATGTTCCTATTTGACAATTATTTTTATTTATATTTAGCCATTCCTAAGTGAGAATCTGAAAAAAGTACCAGTTCAAAGAAATAGAAAAAAAAAATCATTAAAAAGAAAATATGAAAGGGCCATTCTTTTGTACGTTTTACTAGTGCTAAGTATGTCTTGGCATATATTAGTTTTGTGGAATATTTTAGCGGATTCTTTTAAAAATACTTTCCACCTTTTTTTGTATTCAATAAAGGTTGGAAAACGTTTGCACCAACTGAATTTTTCTGTTCTCGCAGCGAACAAGAACTTATTTTTAATTCATACATTTATCACCATACCTTAAGATGAAAATCGGTCTATCAGTTTAGCTTTAGTGATATATAATATATATATATTATAAATTAATTGATTTAAAATATGGGTTTTTTTCGCTACACAGTTCTAACCATGTTTCAAAAATGGAAGCTAAAAGCCCCGAATTTAATTTTGTAATTAAATTAACGACATTAGTTCCATTTCATCCTCAAGCGAATTTAATTACAAAATTAAATTCGGAGCTTTTAGCTTCCATTTTTGAAACATAGTACTATGTAGCGATAAAAACATTTTAAATCAATTAATTTATAATATTAATGTTCTGTAAATTTACATTGAGCACTATTTTATATAAATAAAAATATCTATAAGAACACCGGATTATATATCTTACTGTTCTTTTTTATATATATATATATATATATATATATATATATATATATATATATATGGTATTACACGTTTGGAAAAACCTCGATAGCTCAACTGGCAGTAGAACAAATCGGTCTACGCGGGAAAATGGGAAATAAAAAAGAAAGAACAAAGAACATTAAAACAAGGCGAAATCTTTCGTCAAATGTTTAAGCTCCAAGTCCAAAAAAAAAAAAAAACACAAAACGAATAAAAAGACTACGTAAAGTGCCCAATACACTAAATCGTGTGACAACCTAAGATAACCCTAAGGAGCCAGTCAAACGTACCTAGGTTTCACTTAAACGGATTCGCAGGCTATATAATGAAACTAATAAGTTTAAGGATTAACTTGGTTCATGGTATGGGAAGAATGTTGATCCAAACTATTATTTACATAATTTATATGCGGTATATTATCCTCGTATTTGTCGTTATCGCAGCGTTTCGACTGCTGTGCTTTCTGGACTTCCTCAGGTGTATATCGATCTCGGTAACCTACAGAGACTTCTGAACTGAAGTCTTTATTTAATATACGGGTGTAGATTCGTCTCGTTCTACTGCATATATATTGAGATATTGTATAGTTATTATGCTTAGTCCAGGTCAGGTATTGCTAAGCCTGTTTCTACTGAGGCCAGATACGCATTGTCCGACGCAGGGATTGAACTCTCAATCACTATATCATGAAAATCAAGATGACTCCAAATATAAATCGCGTAAATAATAACTTCTCATCCACGACGTTCAAATTTATGTTTTGAGAAGCACATGTGTAAGAACGGATTGTAATTTTAGGAAGGTGGAAATTATGTTCGTACATTTTAGTACAGGTGATACTCCGATACACAAGAGAATAGTATAACACTAAGATGAATCCCTTTACGTGGCAAACAAATCACGTTACTGTGTACGTGAATAGATAGGATGTAGGAAAAGTCGCATCTGCAGAATTTCGTTTACTTCGATCAGCAGGTTAGCAAATGAAAATCTTGCAACGAGCTCCTCCGGTGAATAAACTTAGCTAGAAGGTATTTACATATAAACCAAAGTTACTGGCCTTGAACACATTTCTGCATTGACACTTTTCCTGTTGTGTGTGTATATATATATATATATATATATATATTCGGTATCTGCAACAAATGGAAAAAATCTTCCCTTCAAGCGCATAGAACCATTTTTATAGATTTTCTCCTTTAAATAAGAACAAGATTGAACTAATCAGTTTTATTTTATTTTTCGTTCAGTATTTTTGTCTGCTTCATTTTCCGTTCTCTTGGTATTTCATTTTCAATTTATTTCTAATTTTGTTTCCATTCCTGTCTTTTCTTTTTTCCAAATAAAATGATTCTTTTCATTTATATAATGGATTGATTATTTCAAGAGGTATTTTCCTAGCCTTCACTGTCTCTGGCTTATCTTCAAAAATTGTCTCTGAGGGTAAATAAAATCTATATTTAGTATGCTGATTTTCAAAGCACGATATTTTGAAGATTTGAGTCTGACAACAATTATAAATATGTGGTAACAAAACACATTCAACCTCGTCTCTTGTTTGTAAATTTTCATCTTTTTTTATGTGCCGTGTCCTTTCAGAACGTAGATCATGGCTCTCCACTTCTTCCTATCCCTTGTAGCTCCCAATAAGTTTCGACCCTCTGCCACCTCCCCAGCCTACATTCACCTGCTTAAATCCGCTAGGTATGTCATGTGTTGGTTTCCCTTGTATCTTTTTTCCCTCTATTCGACCTGTGAGTATTAAATTCTCCAGGTCTTCCTTTCTCATTACGTGTACAGGAAATTTCATCTGTCTCTTCCTTATTTTAAATTTAAGCTTCCTCCTTTTTTGCATCATCTCCAAGACATCATTGCTTCATGATATCCTTATCCTTCTAATGAACCGCATCTCCGCTGCTTCGAGTGTCTTCATGTTTGAAGTGACCGTCCAACATTCGCTGCTGTATAGGAGGACAGGTGTCAAGTAGCAGCACAGTACTCTTTTCTTTGTCAGGAAAGAAATCCTCCTGTCTCGCAGTCACTAAGCCCAGCTTTTGGAATGCATCCTTGGTCATCCCAATATGCCGCACCTACCGTCCTCCAAGAAAAAAAATCACAGATATTTAAAACACCTGCATATGCTTGATTTGTGTGTTCACGGCCTGCAAATCGCATTTCGGGCTCTTCCATTTACTGATGACTCTGCATTGTGTCTTCTTGTAGATTATGGTTAGTACCTTCTTCTAGCTCTCTCTCTTGCTACCTTCTGTAGGGCGGTTTGTAGATTCTTTTCCATGACTGCAATCAGCACTGTGCAATCTGCGTATCTTATGGTGTTAAGATTGTAGCCGCCAATGTTAAAGTCCGGTAGGATCTCCAATTCTCTCAGAAGTGACTCATTGTATAGATTGAATAACTTCGGTGATAAGACATATCCTTGCGTTACGTCCCTTTCTATTTTTGTATATTCGCTAAACTCATTTTCTATGCGCATACCTGCAGTTTGCCGCCAGTATATGTCCTTGATTATTCTAATATCTTTCCCGAATATATTAAGGTTGCTGATCAGTTCCAGCAGATACTGGTGGCGTACTTTGTCGAACGCCTATATAAAACAGAGGTGTACACCCTTCTGCATTTGTACTGCTCATTCGGTAATATTCTTAGCATGAATATCGCGTTTCTTGTTCTGGTGTCTTTAACAAACTCGCAGTCTTCTTTTTCTATCTGGCCCGATGCTGCTCTACGCGCTATTCACCATAATACGGATGAATAGTTTTGAGACGTTGTTCATTAGGCTGATTGTTCGGTGGGGCTCTCATTCGTTTGTGCCTGGTTTCTTAGGTACTGCTATGATCATGTGTTTTTCAGCACGAAACACAATGAGTCAAATAAATTGTCATATGCTTCTACTTAGAATTGTTATTAAATTACACTATATTTCTCCCAATTTGGTTTTATAATATACGGAGTTAAGTTTAACAATTATCAAGAGGAATTATTTTACATTTCTTCATTTTTCAATTTCCTACTGCCATTCTTTAAACTTAAGTTTTTCGTTACGTTTTTTTTATTAATTCCTTGCAATTTTCATGTCCATCAACCTCTAGATTTTCGAAATCTTATCTCTAGTCCAATATACTATCTATTTTCACGCAGTTCAATCCTTTTGGTATTTTTTTTATTTTTCCTATTTTCTGAGGATTTCTTTCATACGTCACGATCAACAGTCATTTTTATTGTAACTTGTTTCTCGTTTTTTTCCCAACCCAAATATGCACTTACTTAAGATATTTCATCCCTATTGTCATCTCCCCCCAACGATGAATACCGGGTTGGAACTATTCACTGCATCCTTCTATAAGCAAGTACGTCGTCAGCAAGGCAATTAATGTTCTTCAGAATGCGACGCCGGCTTCAGAATCGAATACCTCCCGGTGAATGCGAAATGCTCGCTAAATGCTGACTGGCATGTCAAACTAGTTTTTGCTCGTGCTAATGGCATCTCTGCGAGGTTAGACGGTGTCGATGATGAATGCAAGGAAAACACGCGACCAAACAGAAAGCATTTTCCTTATCCGCGACATTAACGCATTACACTTGGGGATAGAGCATCATTATTCTTAAGATCTTTTAAAACAATGCACTCGGAACAGCAGGGATCAGGTTTGCTGGATTCGCTTTACACACAAAGAGAACATTTCCCTGACAGCAAATAATCTTCAAAGTTGGTTCAGTAGATATATGAATGGTCCTATGAAGGATTTAATAGTACACAGCTGAACTAGAATGAGTAGAAACACTTCTCGTATTTGATTCTTAATTGTGCAGTATTAAAGTGCAAACTTTGTTTACAGTTTCGTTATTGTTCAAAATATTTGTGAAATTAAGACGGAAAAAGGAATAATCTTGCTAATTTATTTGTACGATTTAAATACTTGATATATTTCGTTTTGAAATTTAACGAAATGTTGCTTGACAGAGAGAATACCATAAATGTTATATTATGTAAACAACTTATGTTCAG